GCGGAGGGAGAGGGATAGGTCATCGCGGTTCATTCGAGGCGAATGATAATGCATGTAGAACATTGTTAGGGGGTTTCGGGTGACAGGTTGCGCGGGGCCTCGGCTCGGGCTCCCGACCGGGGCGGCCGTAATAAGCTTGTAACCCAAGCGCGGGACCCCGCTCGCTTTTCGGGTTAACTTCATAAAATTAGTAACTCGAGTCGGCGGACGCGACGCCGCCGTCGCGCCGGTGCTCAAGTGCCCCTCGTTAAATGCGAAATCAAATACTCACCCACTTCGGACTCTCTTCATTATTCCCGCCCTTCATTTCTTCATATTCGTATGAGAAGGATGATTCTGATTCGGGGTGAGGTGTAAAGATTTCACGAATTGATTCTACAATGTATTGCTTAAGCAAAGCCTTTGCTGTGTTTTCAAACTTTCCTCGGTACCGCTAAATCGCCTGAGTTACAGTATCCTGTGCGATAACAACGATAGTGAATTCAACTTAGCCAAATCAACCATCCTTTTCAAAATCCTTTCAAAATCATCTCAAAGTTGCTAATGCGACATTTTTTATTCAACCCATTGGTATGGGAAACATTACTACCATCAATTTTTGGCATATAAGAATGCAATTTAGCCTGACGCAAAGGCAATTAATGTCCGTAGCAATTACGGTAGAGTCTCAACCATTTACAATTTTTTTGAAAACTTTTTTTTTTTTTTTTTTTTTTTTTTTTTTTTTAATTGGAGCGGTTGATCGCAAACAAATTTTTGTGCAAACGATTTTTTTTGGGTTTATTTTTTAAATTCTTAGGTTTAACTCATGTATTATTTTTAACACATGTAATATATATATATATATATATATATATATATATATTATACAACTACAAGCAAAATCTTGGAAGCACTATTTCTGACGAACTGCCGGACCGATAAGGATGATCTTTACATGTATGTCATCTGTAGTAGATGTAGATGTGCAAAAAATTATGAAACCCCGAACTTTTAATGTTGTAGAGCTTTTAAAGCTCATGTCACTTAAGTCCAATGTTAATAGCGTGAGAGATATGTCGTTTCCGCTGGAAACGTCAAGGTGTGGGATTCTAACTGAGTGACTCGAATAAACAATAAAACAATGGAAAAGCTCGTGAAGGGCTCCTCATTTGAAGAGTTGAGGAACGGTGCATCGCTCAGGGTTCAAGGTTCAAGGTCCAAGGTATAAGGTTTAACTCAATTTTTCCTGCGTTCTTCCGGCTTCGATTTACGGCATTGGTCAATTTACTTGA